GCACTGCCTGGGCTCTGGCTGTGCACTGGGAGACCCCTCCGGGGCAGAGGGATGGATACCTGCTCAATGTGCATGAGGAGGGTTCTTCTGCACCAGCAAGGAACCTGGAAGCAGGGAAAGACAGCACCAATATCACCCTGGCATGGCTGGAACCAGGAACTTGCTACCTCATTGTGATCTGGGCAGTAGCTGGACCCTACCGCTCCCTCTCCAAGAACATCACTGGCTGCACAGGTGAGCATCCATACCACCCGCGGGAGATTTGGGCGGGAGCACTGTGAGTAGCTCCAGAATGGGATGGGGACCAATGTTGGCACCCAGGGAGAGGAGAGGAGAGGAGAGGAGAGGAGAGGAGAGGAGAGGAGAGGAGAGGAGGGTACCCTGGCCTGGTTCCCGGTGATGCTGGCCTGCAGTCATCTCCTGCCTCTTGCAGCCTTCTTGTACCATGTGGGCACAGAGCGCTCGCTGGCCGGTTGCTGCTGGCTGCCTGGGGAAAGCACAACTCCTCCCCAGACACAGCTGCATGTTCAGAACTGGATCTTTTTCTATCTGATTCGTGTGTCTTGTCTCTCCTCGCAGTTCCTGCTGCACCGACAAACCTGAGCCTTACCAACCCAGGCAGCTCCTCAGAGCTTTACACATGCTGGAACAAGCCCCCTGGCAGCAGGGATCACTACCGTGTTATTCTGTATAGCCTCAGCACCCAGAGTAGGGATCGGGTCCAGACCTTGAGTCCCGATGCCCAGAATATCACCTGGACTCACTTGGAGGCAGGCAGCAGGTTTGCTGTGCAGGTCACTGCTGTGAAGGGCTTGTTTGAAGCCTCCTCCACCAACGTCACCCAATGGACACGTGAGTCTGATCGGTTGGGATGGGCACTCCATCCAAGCCTGAGACCCTCCATCCAAGCCTTGCAGAGCACTCACCACCACCTTTCCCAACCCAAACCATCTCTGCTGTGCCCCCTAGATGTCCCACCTTTCTGCTCACTGTCCCCACTCCTCCCCTAACACAGAGCCCTACCCACCTGAAAGGCTCTGGATATCTCCCCTGCCATGTCCAGCTGCAAACCCTGGGGATATTGCACTCAGAGACACATGCACTGCCTGCCCATTTGTCCCCATGTTTCTCTCTGGCAGGATCTCTGGTGGCCAACCTGCCCCCTGTCCAGTGGGAGCTGGGATCCAGCACTGATCCAGCCCAGGAACCACTGGGCAAACCGTCTGGCTCACAGCACTGAGCAGCGAGTGGTGGCACACAGGGGCTGACTGTCTCCCTGTTGCTTTTCAGATCCCTTGGCCCCTGCCAACCTCACCCTCAGCAGCCCCTCTGCCTCCATGCTGCAGGCCTCCTGGGCAGCCATGGGGCGAGGAGCAGAAGGCTATGTGGTGGATGTCTATGACACAGACTCCAGCAGACATGTTGGGCCCATGGTGCTGGGTGGGGATGCCAGGAGTCACACCTTCAGAAACCTGAGCCCCGGCACCCACTACAGTGTGGCAGTGAGGGCCACAGCTGGCCCTTTCCACACCAGCACCCCCAACTTCACCCACTGCACACGTGAGTATCATGCTCTCCTTGCAGCCAGGTCTCTTCCACCAGATCTCCCCTTTCCTGGTTCAAATCAGAGGCCATACTGGTGCACCCAGATCCTGCCTTCCTCTCCCACCCATGCAAGCGCCCAGTGCCCATGCCCTGCTGGATGCAGCATGGGGAGTCTGTACATGACCCTGTGGCGTGGCCACCCATGTCCCAGGTAGCCACCCACAGCCATACACTGGCTCAGGCAGCACCACAGAGGAGGAAATCCCTGGAGACAGCTGCCAGAGAGTCAAAGGCAAAGGCAGCCCTCAGGACCTTGCAGGGCTGACCCACCTCCAGCTGCATGGGCTTGGCACAGACATGGAGTATCCCCTTTCTCTCGGCCTGAACGTGGCTCCTGGCAGTGACTCATATTTCCTTCCCAGGCCCGCTGCCCCCAGCTGCCCTACACTGGCTGAGCACGGGGCACCGTGACAGGCTGAGTGCGTCCTGGGGAGCTGCAGCTGGGGGGCGAGATGGCTACACACTGACCCTGTACCACGCACAGATGGGCACCGTGGCAGCTACAGCCTCACTTGGGAGAGACACCCACAACTTCACCTTCATGGGCCTGACCCCAGGATATGAGTACTCCCTGGAAGCCAGTGCCACGGCTGGACCGTACCAGGCTGCAGCACCCAACATCAGTGGCTGGACAAGTGAGTGCCTGGAGGAGTGTCCTCTGCAGAGGGGTGAGAGATGTTGCACCACTGGGCAGCCCTGGGGAGGGCTGGGAGGTTTAAAGGAGACCTGGTGCCTTTGGAGATGCGCATGGGTGCAACACACAGCACTTAGTGCAGGGGCACACTATTACCCTCCTGGGCACAACTGTAGACTTGCACAGGTACATGCTGATGACGTACAGGGTTGCCCAGCTGTGCCTACATGGGGACATCCCCCTGACTATGCTGCCCCATCTCCCTGTATACATGAGCACTGTGCCCTTGCTGAGTGTCTTCCAGCAGGTAGAAACCACATCACCATAAAGTTCATTAAATGAATCAGTGCAGTACAGGAAGAAGCTATTCCACAGTCCTCCCAGGAGAACAGGTCTTTGCTCTGGACATGCGCCAGTCCAGCACTTCTCCCCACCCAGAAAGGTTTTAGTGCTGGACAGAGTATGGACACTGTGCCAGCTCTGCCCAGGCAGCTGTAGGCCAGCTGGGTGCTGGAGGACACGTGTGCACGCAGAGGTGGCAAAGGTGCTCCAGCTAGGCTATGGGGACAAGGGTGACCTAAGTGAAGAAGGGTTGGCATGTGAAGGACCACAAAGGATGAGCACCATTAGACGTGAGGTGGGATGAGGACAGGAAAGAGAAAAGTGAGGAGGAGGAGTGTACCAGAGAGGGTCTATGAGTCCCAGCCTTCAGGGAGCATATGTCCTCCTGCCCAGTGTCCCATCAAGTGTCTGTTTCCTTCTGCGTGGTCTCTGGTCCCTAACATCAAGTCTGGTGACTCCGCAGGCCCACTGCCCCCAGCCACCGTGCGCTTGCTGAGCACGGGGCATCCCGACAGACTGAGCGCATCCTGGGGAGCTGCGACCGGGGGGCGAGATGGCTACACGCTGACCCTGTACCATGCATGGATGGGCACTGTGGCAGCTACAACTTCGGTTGGGAGAGACACCCACAACTTCACCTTCATGGGACTGGCCCCAGGAAGCAAATATGTGCTAGAGGTGGTGTCCATGGCGGGGTCCTACCAGACACCTGCCGGGAATGTCAGCAACTGGACATGTGAGTACCCTGTTTTGAGGGAGATATGTGCCTTTCTAGGCAGTCATGAAAGCTGGTGGCAAAGGACATGGCTCTGCTGACCTTCATGGTAGACCCCGAGCCCTGCCTGAACCCAAGGGCAAGTCAGTGACATGCCACTGAGCAGGGCTCTGCCCACCATCACCATCAGCTGTACCAGCCTGGATTAGGCCAGCTGAAGCTCCAGGGACTGTGCTTCAGAGGAGCAGCACAGAAGAGAGAGCATTCACTTTCCCCTCCCCTCTAGCTGGCTGGGTGCTCCCTCCTCACCCATTTCCAGGTGTCTTGCTCCAGCTGGGACAGGGCTGACTCTGCTCAGACAAGTACCACTTGAAGCTTGCAGAGGCTGCTTTTAGATGCCTCCAGGCTGGTGGATGCAGCGCTCCAGCCAAGATGAAGTGCTCTGACCTGTATGGTGCATCCCTTCTGATGACACTGCCAAGATACCTAGGCCATGTCCTCAGACCCTTCACTACATGTCTCCCATCCTGTCTCTCCAGACCCCCTGGCACCCCGTAACGTGTACATGACGAACCAGGGGTATCCCAACAGGCTGAGCGCATCCTGGCGAGCTGAACCCCAAGGACAAGACAGTTACAGGCTCCTCCTGTATCATTCAGGATCAGGTATTGTGGCAGCCAATGTATCTGTTGGGAAAGGCACCAGCAAATTCACCTTTTCTGGCCTGGCTCCAGGACATAAATACCTGCTGGAAGTAGTGTCCATGGCAGGACCCTACACAACCTCTGCAGGCAACATCAGTGACTGGACAAGTAAGTGGCAAGAACTAGTGGTCCTTGTATCATGCATGAGGCTCAGCCTTCCCCAGCACCTGCGGTGGGAAGGGGCAGGGACACAGCTAGGACTGCTGCCTGGAAGCTGTAAATACCACCTTAGCAATGGGATCATGGGCTGTGCAAGCCCCCGCTGGAGGGGAGAGCAGGGCAATACTGCTGCCCGTAGGACAGTCTAGCAGCCATGGTTGCTGTTTCAGGAGTCAGGGGCTTGTGGCCCCCCTGTTCACACAAGTTGGCTCCTCCAGGCCATGGGTGCCTCAACAAGAGCAAGGGATCCCATGTCAGTAGTGCTGCTCTGGCAGAGGACAGCCACAGCCTGGGAGACCACAAGGCCTTACAGCCAGGGGGGACATCCCCACTGCCTTTCTCCCAGGCACTCAGAAAATTCCTGGCATGGGGGATAAGGGAAGGCTGGGCTTTTGTTGTTGTTGTTGTTTAAGGAATGTGGAAATTGCAGATAAGCACAATAAGCCTTTTCATGTGCTTGTCCCCACAGTCCCTGCACTTTGCTTGGGGAATCTAGTGGTCTCTGCTCCCACGCTCAGCCAGCCCCTGGCAGGGTGCTGGGGGTCATGTGCAGAGCCCTTCGGGCAGGTCTCTAATAAAACATGCTAATTAGCAGGAGGAAGAACCCATCTCCTCATGCTCCTCACTCTGCGCGTCCTCTAGTTGTCATTTAAAGGTCATTTCTGGTAGTGGCAGCCAGCAGCTGCAGAAATATTATCACTGAACATAAGAAGTTTCTTTGCATGTTACCCATCTTCTACTTGTATCTCTGTAGGATGGAAGAGAGTACATGCATGCCAGTAACACTCTCCTGGTGTGGTTTTCATTGTAGCCCCCTCAGTTCCCAAAAATCTCTCTGCGGTGGCTGAAGGGAACAACACGATGCTTATCTCCTGGGCCAGTGCCTCTGGACAGCAGGATGAGTGCCAGCTGTGGCTGCGGGATCCCAGGAACAGCACGCTGCCCTGGCGGCACGCTCTTAGCAGAGGGCAAGTCCAGCACCTCCTCCAGGGGCTGATCCCAGGGAGGAACTACTCTGTCTCCTTGAGCTGCGTGGCTGGACCCTACTGGAGCAGCACCAAACCCTTGGCAGTGCCAATGGGTGGGTATGCACTGCTGTGGGGATGAGGGGAGTGCAGGCTGGAAGAGGGAGAAACACCTGGGTGGCCTTGAGACTGGATCAGCTCTTGGGGGTCAACAGAAGCATGGAAAGTATTCATGGTGGGAGATAAGGAAAGCTAGCAAGGTGACCCTCTGGTAGCCATAAGATCCCTAAGCTAGCCCTATCACAGAGACTTCCCATCACCTGTTGGCCTGGCTACCTGTGAAGCAAAGAGGACTCTGCAGAGATCTCCATTGGTCTGCTTCTCCTATAAGACATCTGCTCAGGCACTGACCCATTCACTGTGTCCTGTGGCCCTTGGCACAGAAGGCTCCCAGGTCACAGATGTCCAGCTCTGCCCCACCCTCATTGCTCTAGGGACAGGCAGTGGCTCTGGGCTGACACACAGACTGAGGCTGGGATTTCTCTGATCCAGTAAGTCCAGAGCCTGCCATATCTCCTTCACAGAGCCAAACCCAGTGGAGGATGTGCAATGTCTACCAGAGTCAAGGAGCCTTTACGTGAACTGGACAAGCTCCCCTGGAGATGTCGAAGCTTATGAGGTGGTGACAGAGAGACTCTCTGATGGACTTCCCACCTCCAAGTATGTCATGAGCATCCCTACGAGTGAGGCCAGTCTGGAGGGGCTGGGGCCAAACTCATCCTACCGAATCGTTGTGAGCACAGTGGGCATGAACACAATGAGAAGCCAGACTGTGACTGTGCTCTGCAACACAACAGTGGAGGGTGAGTCCCCTTCTTTCCCACAGCCTTGCCACAGACCCCAGGAGAAGACATCCAGTGTTGCTAATTAGACCTGGGAACTCTTTCAGAAGCCTGGGAGCCCCATGTGGTCCTACACTGAACTGCAGCGGTTCAGGGCTCCGGGCAGTGATGCTGGGACCAGTGACAGGCTGAGCAATGTGTGGTGGGCCTGTGGGAGCAGGGACACACTAACAGTCTGTGCTTGCTGGTTCCTTTTCCAGCCTTGCCTCCACCCCTGCGAGCAGACATCTTCCAGGTGGAGGCCAGCTCCACGGTTATTATTTCATCCGACCTGTTCAGCGAGGAGAATGGCCAGATCGAGTATTATGGTGTCATTGCTACCACTAATGATTCACGTAAGTGCCCCTGTATATCCTGATCTGCACTGGCTCCCTAGAGGGCAGCAGGTCCCCTGGACATCACTTTGGGACTACCACTGTCACCTTGTGCATTCCCCTTCAGTGCTGAGGCCCACCCAGGAAATCATGTCCAGCACATGGTATGACCACTATTACGGGACAGAGGACTCCTACCTGGCTGTACTAATCCCCAATCCCTTCCATCGGAGCCCCAGGAGCTTCCCTGAAACCTGGAGAGTGCCAGTGGGAACAGAGGAGTGCGGCCAGTCCAGGGCGATGTGCAACGGGAAGCTGAAAGCCAACGAACAGTACAGGTGAGAGATGTCAACATCCCTCCTGAGGGCAAGGGGCTGGAGGAGAGAAGGGACTGCAGGTGTCCCTGCAAGCTGCCACCAGCTCTCTGGATGTCACCTCACCCTCGTACTCTGCTGACCCCCAGCAGTGGACCCCAGGGGTTGCTCCACCAAGCAGCGTTTGAGGGATGCAAGGGCTGGCATACTGGAGAAGATCAGACAGAATAAGTGGGCTGGGAGAGGGAGGGCAGAAGTGAAAACTGAGGCTGACAAGGGCTGTGTGTGTTTCCCTGGGAGCTGGGCAGTTGTCCACCTCCAGGGTAAGAACTAAAATGGTTACTGTTATTTGTAGGACTTTTGCATGTGACTCAGAGCCACCCCCAGACTCGGAGAGTGCAAAAATGAAACCGATTTGGAAACGTTAGTTCAAGTGGTGCCTACACAGCTGGGGTCTCAAAGGTTGAGGAGAAGCAAACCCACAGGCTGAGGTCCAAGGTCCCCACAAGGCACACACACAGATCACAATATTCATAAATTCAGAGTCGTATAGAATAGTGAATAGAATCCAGGGACATGAATGTACAAGCATACATATTTTGTTAAAGGGTACCTTTAAAACAGTTGATGGTAAAACAGCTTTTCTACTACAAAGAATCGTATCTTTAGTCAGTCCTCTGTTAATTAAGCAGCTCACAATTTCATCAAACAGGGACTGTATCTCCAGGCATTTCTCTGACAAAGGGATCCCCCAGAATCTGGAAGGTTGTCCCATTTCAATTTAAAAAAACTTACAGCAAGGGTGGCTGACTAGTGATAGAAGTCACAGAGCGTTGGGAAAAGAGAAAGACCATGCGAGAGTGTGCATGAGGGAGACCTTCACTTTCCCCTGTGAATAAAGTGAGAATTAGCTCTGCCCTTAATACTTGTGGTGAGAGGAGTCCAGGTCCCTACTGTTGGGTTTGGACCTGCTGGCTCTTCTTCCTTTCTTCTTTCCTCCTTCGCTCTCTCTACTTTTGCTATGTGCAGACCCTGCACTTACATGAAAAACTTACATTGATTCTTATGGAGTCCTTTTAGATTTACACATTGCCAAACAGGGACTCTTCAGTCAAGCTGCTGTTTGGGGCAGCACTGGCAGAGAACAGAGTGGGAAATGGCTGCTTCTCCTGGGGAAAAAAGGGGAGTTTCCAGAGACCCATTCCCTTGGAAAAGACACACAGAGCAGGATCATCAAGAGCAAACAGCTCTTGGGGCTCTCCCTAGGTACTGTATTATCATGCCCGGCAGGAGAATTGCATGATGATGCATTCCCATCCCATGCCCACCACAGGTGGTGTGATCCCTGGACTGGCATGGGAGAGTCTCCAATTGATTCAGAAGGTTTGAGGTTGATTGCCCATCAAGCCCATCTATTCTTTATTGCCAATACCCTCAGGCACGGCTGGGCAGGCCTTACTGTTTAACCCTGGCAGCCTCGGATCTGGCCTGCTGCTCCAGCCAGCACCAGGGACACAGGGGACAGCCTGGGCACAAGCTGGATCTTCTTCATCACAGCGCGTTGGCTCAGACCAAGATCTGCCTGACCCATCTCTTGTAGCTGCCAGCACGAATGCCCCGGGTTACCCCTCCACCCTCCAAATACTGTCCAGCCAGCCTCAGAGAGGCTCTATCTGCCCTTCCTGCTCCCCAGCTGCCATTTTCACTCCAACATCGACCTCCCCCAGGGTAGCAGCTAATTCAGAGCCATCAGGGTGTCATTAGCCCACCTACTGTGACTGAATAACATGTACCTAACTGCCCAGTTACTGAGGACTAGACGATCCTTTTGCACCTCTTCACGGCTTGCTTTCATTTTGGCTGCCCTAAACAAAGGTGTGTCCTCAGTACAGAGTGCTGCTTTCCTAGTTAATCATTAGTTGGGTGGTGATAAGCAGATAGCTCTGACAGCCCATCTCCACTCTGAAAGCCGGCCCTTGTTTCCTACCTTTCAGTGAGTTAGTATCCACAAGTCGTTATCTGTCATGCCATGGCATCTGCAGGCTCAGTTTCCAAAGAGGTCTTTGCTCTGGCAGCCGGGTCCATGGTGCTGCCAGCCTGGACTCACACTAGGATCCACACACTCTTGGCTGTTAAAATCCAAAGCTACATTTGAAAGCCTTAGACTGCATTTTAGGGCACCAGAAGACCTATCCTTCCAAGTTAGCTACTCAGAAGGAAGTCAGCGCTGCAGGGAGCTGCGAGGCTTGGTGTGCACACTGCTGGGAGGAGGATGTAGGGCAGATCTCCGCAGGGAAGGTGATGCACCAGCCATTTATGTGTGCATCAGGAAGGGTCTGGGTCGGGGCTCAGCCCTCCCAGCTGAGGTGCCCCTGTTTCAAACAGTTACCTGTGCTCAGCTCTTTCAAGTCAACCCAATTAATGGGTTGACAGGAACTAAGACAGTGACTCAACCCAACTTGATTTTCCCTACTTACTGTTGTATTTCCCTATTTGTGTCCTATAAGAGAGCAGAAACTTAGTACTTGTCTCTGCAAATAACCCTTTGGAGGAGAGCCATTTCCCATTTGTGCTTTCTGAACATTTTCTCATGTTCTCCCAAGCACAACAAACTTGTCCAAGAGGCAGAAAAGGGAGGAAAGACCATTTCCACACATTCCTGAAATCCCTGCCAGGAAACCAGATTCTTCCAATACAGCATTTCAAACCTGAGGCAGCTGTCCCATTCCCTTGGGTCTTCCTGCTGCTGGCTGCATGGATGCTGTGCTCAGTTCAGATTGCCCCTGACGGCAGGACTCTGTTTTGCCCTAGGTTCAGCATTGCTGCCTTCACCAAATACGACCCAGTAGCCCCTGCAGTGACCTTCACCATGTTCTCAGGTAAGATGGAGAATGCCATCTTCTCTACCTGTCTATGTAGGTTGGAGATAATTAACAACCTGACAATGGCAAGCCAGAGGGAGACCATAGGCTGTAGCAAACATAATAAATAGAATGAATGCAGGCATTTACTGGCTCTTACTTCTGTCCGTTCTATCTCTTTTTCTCTTCCAGCTGCTGGATCGGGTGCAAATGGCACTCCACTCTCAATGCCAATAATTGCTGGAATCATCGTGGGATTTCTCTTGACACTTGCAGCTATTTTTGCTTTGGTCTACTGGAAACAGCTCAGAGCAAAGAGGTGAGAATGAGCCATCTCTTACCTGGTGGCTGCAGGCTGAGAAACCCAACCTTCAGTGCCAGGCTAGCATCTGTCCTTACACTGCAGGGAAGAGTAACATCTCCCATGCTTTGATTTTAGAACCAAGAAGGGCAGCATGCCCCAGGAAATGGTGACCTACAGCTTGAGGTGAGTGTTAGAGTCTTCTCCCACTGCAGGTCCCCGAGTCCTCCACCTACTTCCTTTCTCATGCTTTGACGCCGGAAAAATCCGTCTCTGTCTCTTTCAGTTATTTTTTAAATCTTAAGCGTCCCCACGTTCAGTATTTATTGCCCAGCTCCATTCCAAGTCAATGCATTGTCCACACCTCCTCTGCAAGGCTTCTGCAGTAGAAGAATATCCTCATAATCCTGAAATCCCTCCCAATATTTAAACAATTATCTGTTGGACCCACTTCCCTGGGCTATAACGTGGGCTATAAACCATCTCTGCGTGTGTGCATGTGCATCCAGATACTGCAGGTGTCAAGGCTGGGTTGTCTCATTGGCCACCTGACTGGCCTGCCAGACCTCCCAATAGCTAAGGCAGGTTTTCCTCTGGACTTCATTTCATGCAGAAACGTCCATCGGCCGATTCCCGTACAGAACTTCAAGCAGTACTATGAGATGAAGACAGCAAGTGCTAACCATGCTTTTTTCCAGGAGTTTGAGGTGAGAAGAGACTCCTTCTAGAGATGAGACTTAATTTTGCCTCTAGGTAGCTCATGCCCCAGCTGTTGGGTGGCCTGTGTGGACTCCTCATCTCCAGGGACAGTAACCCGTCTCTCTAGCAATCCAACCACCTTACTAGGCAGTTTTAGAGGCCAAAGATTGGATGGACCAACTGATCGGGCAATTCCTTTGCTCAAATCCTGTTTTGTTCAAGTTCTGGTAGAAACACATGTTGTCTGTGGTGTGAGGTGAACTAGTACTGTCCATAGCTGCTGGTGGACAAAACTAAGGACTCCAGGTGGAGGTGAAGTTACTGAGTGGTGTTGCAATGAGATCCACCTTGACAGCGCTAGAAAAGAGCCTGCAGACAAAAGGATGGTTGAGGATCACTCTCAGAGCTATAGGTCCAGGCTGTGAAATTCACCACAGGCTACCTTCACTGGCTCTCACAGCCAACTACAGGCTCTGAATTGTTCTGCTGCCAGCACCTTTGAATGTCCCATCAGCAATTTCAAACCCTTCTCAGATCACCCTTCTATGGCCTTCTGAGTGAGGACAGAGGAAGAAGCAGCACAACATATTTCTGGGTTTGCAGCACAAGATGTTTCTGTTTTCTCAACACATAATGTTCTGAGCTTATTGGTAGATTTCTTATTTCTGACAAGGTTTTTTTCCCCCCTTATTTGTTCTTGAGCTTGTTTTCTTTTGAATACAAACAGAGCTGTTGGAAAAAGCACTGGGAAAAGCCACCTATGTCTCAGAGTTCACAGGCCGTATTGAGGGAGAAGTAGAGCAGTTCCCTGCATGTGGGTGACCCTCTTGAACCACCAGACAGAGCTGTTGGCCATGAGCAGGGAGGTGGGCTGGCCAGGATCAATCCAGAGAGACATTTGTGCTATCTTCTGCCCTGTCCTACAGGAGCTGAAGGAAGTTGGGAAGGAGCAGCCAAAGGTGGCAGCCGAGCTACCAGTGAATGTCTCCAAGAACAGATATCCCCACGTGCTGCCCTGTAAGTGCTGTCTCCTCCTGCCTCCCCCAGGATCCAGGGTTGGAGTTCACACTGCAGTACACAGGGATGCAGTCACTGTAGGGTTCACAGTGCCTGGCTCCTCTCCTGGGAGAAGAAGGAGCCTCAGTTTCCATTTTCCTGCTGGAGACTCAATACTTAAAGGTTGAGCCAGGGCTGAGCTACCATCCTCCTCAGCTCCTCCAGGAGGCTGCTGGGCAGGTGCTGGGTGAGCCCAGCTCAGGGATGGGTCCCAGCTGGAGACCAAAGGGGGACTTTGGTCCCTCCATGGTCCCTCCCATGGCTTCTCCAATGAGCCTCGTGATACTAGCTCTACTTTCTTACCCACCTTGCTAACCCAACGGGCAGGCAATGCTCACCTCTCCAGGTGCCTGGCCAAGCACAGAGCCTCACCGCTGGCTGCGTATATAGAGCTAGGGGAGCTTCTGGGGCTTCTCCCGATGTGTTACCCAGGTGAAGAGGAGATGACCATGTCCTGGTGAAGGGCTGCCTTGGAGGATCATGTGTGTATGGTCTCTTTCAGATGATCACTCTCGGGTCAAGCTAAGCCAGCTGGGGGAGGATCCGCACTCAGACTACATCAATGCCAACTTCTTGCCTGTAAGTGCCTGCTTACCTTCCCCACAGAGACATGACCACAGGGCACCATCAGAGAAACTGTGACTGGATTGAGGTTGTGAGGACTGGTGGGCAAGAGCTGCCACTGAAGCCGCAGCTGGTACAGACTGGCAAGGAGTTGGGAGTCAGGCTGAGATGCATAGTTTGCCCTTTAGCAGGGGTTGATGGAGATCATCAGATGGCAAGTGCTGTGAATACAGAGGTGTGAGTGTGGGGAGACTGGCAAGGCTTTCTGCTTTCTCCTTGAGGACTATTCTCTTCCCATCCTCTCCCAGTTTACTGCCCCATCTGTCTGTCTGCTCTTTCTCCTTCTGGTCTGTGCAGCTGCATTTGAACAACCCTGAAGCTGTGCCCACTTCCCCCGTCCAGGAGATTTTCCCAGGTAACAGGCAGGGCACACAGCATGCATGCGCGGGTGTGTGGCTCCGTGGGGCATGTGTGTGTCAAAGGGGCAAAGGCAAAGAAGCAGCCTGAAACCTTGCATGCTCACCCTACCTCCAGCAATGACTGGGGAGCACAAGGAAGACCCAGATCTGTCTTTCCCTGGTTAGGCTGAATGAGGAACTGCTTGGAGGGAAACAGCGGGGGTCACGTCTTTATTCCAAATGTGTAGAGAGCACATGTTGAGCAGCACATGCTTCCTATGAAATCAGCTGCTTCTGAGATCAGCTGCCTGGGAACTGTGCCCTCATGGGCTAAGGGCAATGGGCATTTCTCCCTCTACCACAAAGGCAGACCAGGCACTGACTCTGTCTCAGGAAGGATCCACCTGCCTCAGCAACTTGCCAACTCCTCCTGTCTTCCTCTTGCTCAGGGCTATACATCCCAGCAGGAGTTCATTGCCACCCAGGGGCCCCTGAAGAAAACGATAGAAGACTTCTGGAGGCTGGTGTGGGAGCAGAATGTCTGCAACATCATTATGCTCACAGTGTGCATGGAGAACGGGCGGGTAGGTCAACACTGCTGAGCTTCCATGTGCCCCAGCCAAGCCCAGACCTGGTCATGTGAGCTGAGCCCAGGACTGGGTTTGTGCCCCCCACCAACCCCTGCTCAGATGTGGCTCCAGGGTGAGCACGGGCCACAGCTTTCCTGACAGGCAAATTTGGGGAGGGAAGAGAGGCTGATATGTGCAGTTCAGCATTAGCCTGCGGTAGGAAGTCACAGAAGCAGAGCTTAGCTGGAACCATGCCCACCACCCTCAGATATTTCTGCAGTGTCTGAAATTACCACTTGCTTCTGGATGAGACACATCACATGGATTGTTCCTCCAGTATCCAGGGATGATGCGACCCACACAGGTCCTTTTCTCTTGAGGAGGCTGAGATCCAAACAAAGGGGAGGTGGGGGAGTACCGTGCAAAGCTCCTGGTGGGAAGGGGAACCACCTGCTCCCCAAGACATGCTCTGGCTCCCTGCACAGCAGCTGCTCTCTAGATGCTCCACTGACCCAGGAGGTCACCCAGTAGCACCTGGGCCCTCACTGGCCTCACTGGGACCCCGTCTTGCCTGTGCTCTAGGTCCTCTGTGATCATTACTGGCCATCTGAATCTGCTCCAGTATTCTATGGGAAGGTTCAGGTCCACCTGCTGACACAGAGCAGCTCTGAAGAGTGGACCATGCGCGAGTTCAAACTGTGGCACGTGAGTAAGGACCCAAGAGGACAGACTCGGGGACCTGTCAAAGGCTGGGGGTTTGCATGGGATGCAATGGTGTTTCTCCTTGGTGGTGGTGTCATAATTTCCATTCTCTGACATTAGCGGGGTTCAAAGACTGTCTGTCACTGTCAACATGTACCACCCCTGCTGTCCACCCTTGCTCTCTCCTTTCCACGTCCCTGCACTGGGACACAGCCTGCAGCTTCAAGGGTACGTTCCCCAGCAGTCAAAGGCAGGTCTCCTCCTTGCCACCTCCACGTGCCTTACCATGGCAGGGGGCCATGGGGAAGGACAGGGGAGCAGGAGCCACCAGGCAGTGCAGCAGACCTGGCGTTGGGTGTTCCTTGCAGCTGAGCCAGGTGTCCCCAAGTCCCCAGGTGCTCTCAGGGCTGCGGGGTGCATGCATGACCCTGTCCTGGAGGGCTGCACACTGATGACCAACATCCCCCCTGGCAGGAGGGTCTCCGGGCAGAGCGGCATGTGTCCCACCTGCACTACACAGCATGGCCCGACCACGGGATCCCAGAGTCCACAACTTCCATTATGACCTTCAGAGATCTGGTCCGGGAGCACATCCAGAGCACGAAGGATGGGGGGCCAACCCTTGTGCACTGCAGGTGAGGTTCTGTTCCTGGAGATTGCAGAAGGGGACAATGGGAGAAGGCATGGGGGAGAAGGGCCCTGATCTTGCACAAACTGGGAGGGAAAGCGGCTCCCGGGAGACACAGCTGGTCTGCAGAGAGTCTTCTGCTTGGGCATTGGGAATTACAGGTGTGCTTGCAGCCTGCCCCCCAGTCCCAGGGAACACGGTAGCTGGAGGTGGTCAGGACCAACCCAGGGCAGTCTGGATGGCTCCTCAGCCCCATGCTGTGCTGGGACCAGTACCCCCGGTGTGCTGGGACCAGTGGCCCAGGGTGCAGCATCTGGGAGCCAATGTCTAGCAGTTGGAGGGGAGCCCATCGGCTGCGGGGCCAGACAATGTTTAACCCTTGCTGTCTGTGCTCTTAGCGCCGGGGTGGGCCGCACTGGCACCTTCATTGCACTGCACCGGCTGCTGCAGCAGATGAAGCAGGAGAAGGTGGTGGACACGTTTGGTGTTGTTTACACCTTGCGGATGAACCGTTACCTGATGATTCAGACGCTGGTAAAATCTCTGTTCCCTCTTCCCTCAGGCCTCTTGCTCCGTGGTGTAAAAGCTAGCTGGTCTGGCAGACAGATGAGCTGTCCAGCCAGAGCCAGCACCCCCCACTGGTCCCCAACCTGACACCATGTCACAGTGCTGCTCAAAACGACAGCTCAGTTGGAGTGGAAATTGTTCTTCTGCAGGGGTCTCCAGCAGCTTTGTGCCCTGCCAGACCCACCACAGCAACATCCCTAGTCTCAGAGCCCTTCCAGGAGGCTCAGCAACACCCCAGAGCACCTAGGAACAGAATCAGGCCCTTTGCAGGCAATTCTCACACCGTGGTGTTGGCCTGTGATGCTCCACAGGCAATCTAATATTTCTAGCACTTGGAGTTGGGACATAGTGCCAGTTCTGCCCTTCAGGACAGACAGACAGACCCAGGGGCTCTGAGATTGTATTAGCCAGGGCCTTTTGGACATGAATGTAGTGCTTTTGGGGCGTGAATGTAGGACACGCTCTGCCCACTAGGCAGTGCCATACCCACCGTTTCATGCTGTCTGCATGGTGCAATGCTCTACATTGCGATCTGCCTTTGCCTTCCAGTCCCAGTATATTTTCCTGCACAGCTGTATCCTGGACAAGATCTTGGAGGAACCACTTCTGGGTTTATCAGGGACGGAGAGGTAAGGGCCTGCTGCGTTTTGCCGGCCACTCTACCCACCCTGACCCACAGTCCCTTCAGGCTGCAGGCTGGGATGCTGACCCCAGCTTGAGCCTTGGCTCCAGGACAAGAACGGGGAAGCCCAGCCATCCTTCCCACCCAGTGTCTTGAGGGGGGTCAGCCCAAGGCAGGTTTTCCCCTGCAACATGAGGAGCCCAGGCCAGCACTAGGTGGGATTCGCTGGGCATGCTGGTAGGGCTTGGGGGACAACATCCTCCTTTCCTCCAGTGCCAGTCTCCTGGGCTACGCCAATGCCAAGGAGCAGCAGAGCTGTCCTGGGGAAGGCATTTTGATCAGCCCCTGGCTTCCCAACCCACAGGGATGCGCTAGAGGTGCAAACTGGAGTGGCTTATGGTAGCTGGCTGCCTTGGGATGTCCCTTCTAATGGAGGTCAAGAGGAAGGAGCGGGGTGAGGCTGGGTATGGCTTTGCCCACCTACCTTGTTGTCTCTGAGGCTACACCTGGAGGTCACATAGCTATCTTTATGGTCAAATTGTCTCCTACCTCACATGGAACAGGATGCCCTTGTCCTTGCTGCATCTTGGGAATAGGCACTGGGCTGTGCCACACCTGAGACCTGCCTTTGCCTGGGGGAGAGCAGGTTGGCACAGGCCAGAGCTGGGCTGGGGACCTGTGAGGGCCCAGGCATTTGAGGGGTGAAGGTCTGCCCACAGCCCCGTCCACCTACCACAGACATAGCCTGGATGCTGCTGAGTTTGCTCAACCTCACCCTTACCCCCAGTTTCTCTCCCCAGGTCCTGCCCCATCCCGCTGAAAAGCTTTGCTCAGCACTATGACCAGAAGGCAGCCAAGTCCCATGTGGGTTTCCTGAGGGAGTACGAGGTGAGAGCTGTCCTGGGCAGGGTGCTGCCATGGCCATATGCACTAGGGGGACCTGGGGAGCAATTGTGCCTGCTCAGGCTGGGGAACACCCAAGAAGTGCCTCCTGAGTGGGTCCCATGCCCCGGTTTCCACATGCCTGGCTGTCCTGGCAGTGTCCCCTCTCCATGGCATGGTATCCTCAGGCACATAGCTCCCTCACACATCCTGCACTTATCAGGGTCTGTCCATGACCCCATCCTTTCCAGACCCCACATAGGTTAGGGACCTATCTAAACACCTTTCTCCTACAGAGAGATGCAGCCATCTCCTGACAGTGGGGAGCAGATCTGGCAGCCCACCCCAGAGATGGTCACATAGCACCCCTGCTAAGGCTTCTCCATGTGCAGCTATAACCACCCCTCTGCCAAAGCCAGACATCCTCAGGAGTCCCCAGTTCCTCCTGCTTCTCCTGACCCTTCCCTGCTCACTGCTTCCTCCACTCTCACTCTGGCAGGCCCTCCTAGAGGCTGTCAAGGAAGAAACCAGCTCTGCAACACCATCTTCAGGCAAACAGCAGACACATCCATCTACCAGCATCCTCCCATGTAAGTGCTGTGACACCTTGCATCCTCTTCTTTCTTGTACCTGTGTGGAGATAGATAGGCTGGACCAGGGATAGCGCTCCACAGTACAAGAAAATATTTTGACACACTGAAGTGAGTCCACCAGAAGGCTACCAAGGTGTTTCAGGGTAGAGCACATGATGTATGGGACTGAGAGAGGGTTTGTTCAGCCTGGAGGAGAGAAGGCAAAGGGTAGATCTTATTGCTATCTTCAACAACCTGCTAGGAGTGAAAATGTAGTCTTCCCAGAGGTGCACCTTGGAACAACAAGAGGCAATGAGAATGACTTGGAAGAGTAATCAAACTCAGTATAAGGAAAAAAGAGTTCCCATGAAGGTGGCCAAACACTGGAACAGGGGCTCAGAGCATCTGCAGGCTCTCCATCCTTGGAGATATGCAGGTGTCCATTGGCCAAGACATTGAGCAACCTGCACTACATGTATCTGCTTTGAGTAGGAGATTGGGATAGAGACCTGTCCTTTGGGGGCCAATGTCCATGAGAGGGACAAGAGCACTGCAGAGGGGAGCACCTTTACAGAGAAATGGTGAATGGGGGCGTTGGATTTGGGTGGTGGTGTGGAGTCTGGCCGCTGGGCAGCAGGGACTGTGAGAGCACAAGACTGTTCTGCATCCCTCCACCTCCCACATATTTTGCAGATGATCGCTCCAGAGTGAAGTTTTCCCTGCTGGAACAGGGCCCTTTCTCAGGTCTCTTGCAGGTGTGGCATGTCCCGGTGAGTCTTACGTCCAGCAGCAATGCCTACCCCTGTGCCCAGGTCCCACAGGCAGAAGGTCATGTTCCCCCTTCCTCACTGTGCCCCTGCTTCCTGCTGCCTGGTTCCTGCACTGCTCCTCACTGCCCTGTGAACTTGTCTGGACAAGAGGTGACCGTGGGGACTGAGGATGTGTCTTCCCTCACCTGCCCAGTTTGGGCTGTCCTCACTTCCCTCCCTTGGTGCTTTCTCCTCTTTCTTTGCCTCCTGACCTGCTGAGCTTCCCTTCTTCTCCTGGCCTCTTCTGCGGCTGCCTGCGTTGACGGGGTACCTGTGCAACCCTCTCCAGCAGGAGAATGATGTTTTTGTTCCCCACCCAGGGCTGCAGCTCCAGCAGGGAGTATCTGGCTGTGCAGGGGCCTGACAAGTTGACCATAGAGGACTTCTGGACCCTGGTGTGGGAACAGGATGTTCACACCATCCTAACCCTTCTCCCATGGCAGGAGAAGGGACAGGTAAGGTGCCATGCCTGCCTGTGCCATGGCAGAGCAGGGGTCTGTTTAATGGAGCTGGAAGCTAGCATAGCTCCAAAACTTGGACTGTCTTCACTGCCTTCTGAAGCCTGGGTGCAGATCCAGCTTAGCTAAAGCCAGACCTTTCCTGTGTCAAAGTGCTTGCACTGCTTGTCATGGGAGACAGGTTCTGTCTAACCACCACGCAGTCCATGGCCCTGGACTCAGCTGGTACTGTTCAAGCTGCATCTCCGTGGCAGCTCCTGCATCTGTACATTCAAGGTAGAGAGAGTTTGCTGAGCAGATTCCCACTGCCAAGCAGCTCTGTGTTAGCAGGGAAGCTGGCTGAATCTGCTCTTGTTTCCAAAAACTCCCCCAAGGTTTAGCTAGGGGACAAACTGACATGGAGTGACATCTTGTTCCAACCCCATCACAGACTCCTGTGATGGTGAAGGATCTGAAATATGGCAACCATCAACATGAAGCCAAACTTGCTGTTGCACACAGGTCCCAAATGAGGCATGCTGGCCCCTAGAAGGAGACTCTCTTTGCACAAAGATGCTGACCATCCAGAGTGGCACAGAGAAGCTTGTCTCCGGATGGAGGTGTATCCAGCTCAAAATGAAACACGTATGTATTGATGGGGCTGGCCTGGCTCCCACTGCCTGGGATGTTCTTCACTGCTAGCTAGCAGGTCTGTAGGGGCAAGGGATGAAAGGTCCACAGAGATTTGTCTGAGCTGCAAGTGCAGAGTACTAGCAGTCCACAAATGCAGGAGGGAATCTAGATTCCAACATCCAGAAGAACATCTGCTGAGTGGACATAGGAGATGCACGGAAGATGCTTGGAGGCTTCCCCTGCTGCTTGCTGATAGGTCTTTCTGATCCTCTTTGAAAAGGCCCACACAGTTCTCAGTCTTCCTCTCAAGGGGCAGGTCAGGGTGCTGTGAGGAAGGACAGCAGGTTGCTAGATGCAACATAGCCACTGTGCAGGTGATGGGCAATGCCCCAGCAGTCTGCCTGGACAGCTTTACAGAAGCTAGCAGTTAGCTCAGGAAAGCACCTGACAACCGAAGGATTGGAGAGCTGGGACCACTCTGCATCCAAACTCACCCATCCCTCCCCAACAGCCATGCCATCTCTTTGTGTCTCATCAGGAGAAGAAAGCAAAAGAGAGGCAGGTACAACAGTTCCTATACACGCTCTGGAGCAGCAAGAAACAGCCAGATGTTCAGAGCCTGGTGGAGCTCCTCACTGCTGTCAGACGGTGCATGCCCCACCGAAAGAGAGCTGGTCCTCTCCTGATGCACTGCAGGTACATCATGTTTCTGCTGTCCATGGGCAGCCTCCCAGAGCTGGTACCCAGCAGGCTGCACAGTGCCTTGGCATGGCCACCAGCAAGCCTGCATCCTCCACCAAGGACCCCAAGGTTTTGGGGCATGTTGAGAGTAGATCTGTGGGAGCCAGGGAAGCTCTGAGCTTGGGAGGTCAGATGAAGCAGTGCTCTGCCAAGCACAGAGGAGAAGGGAGAGCAAACAGGGCTGGGCCAGGAGCAAGTGTGGATGGGGCAGGCATTCCCGGGGGCCCGGGTGATCCCTGGGCTGACTGCTAGGATCCTGGGAGCAGCCCTGGTGTCCTCATCTGCTTGCAGCCAGGGAGAACTCACAGTCCCACAGGAGTCAACACAGCCGGCACATCAACAGAGCTGGCTTGGGTGAGGGATGCACAGCTTGACAGGGCATGGCAGGGCAGGCTGGGTCTCCAGGCTTCTTCAACAGGCACTTTGGGGTCCCATACCCTTGATCAGCCCAGAGCTTCCTAACTCCGAGACCAGTGTTCACAGTCCCCTAGCCCCACTGTACTCAGTTGATGCATGTTTTCTCATGGGGCCTCTGACTTCTTGGGCTGGTACCCACTTCTAAAGAGGTTCAGCTCAGCCTGGCCTGGCATCAAGGTCCCTCCCTTGTCCCTTGCAGCGGTGGCATAAGCCAAATGGGGATGCTGATCTCTCTGGATTGCCTGTTGCACCAGATGAAGGCCGAGAGAATCGTGGATGTCTACGGGGTGACACTCCAGCTGACAAGAAGCTGCTGTCTTATGACCCCAACTCTGGTAGGTGGGAAGGAGGAAGGGTGGTGGGCCAGGCAGAATAGGACATGTGTGCTGAGCTGGCTGGAGCTGGCAGCATGCTGCCCAGTCCCCAGGTGCTACTGGGGATCCCATCCAGCCTATGCAGGGATATATTCTATGCTTGCTCTGCGAGCCACCAAGCCTTTTCCCAGTGAAGGGCTTTCCATTGCCTCAGTTCTGGAGTTAAAACAGGTTAAATTGCATGTGAGCTCACGGTGAATGCAAGGCACTCTTCCCATTCAGCCCTGGAAAGCATGAAGCACTGGTTTCACCCTACAGGACAAAGCTGCCTGCTCACACCAGCCTCTGGACACGGCTCTCAGCCTGGGTACCCAGACTCTGCTGGATTTCCCTTTGTCTGGCGCCTTTCCCTGCCGCATCCCCCACACCCAGAGCCTGCTCCCAGCCCCTGCCTGCTGCCAGAGCTGGGGCCGTGTGGGCTGTGGCACTGTCTGATGGTGCCGCAGCCGTGCCCTGCCGTGCTGTGCCAGCCCAGCCCAGCCTCACAGCCTCCAGAGTGCCGCTCCTGGTGGGTGCTGGCAGCACAGATGCCCTCTGGACAGCGCTTTCATTTGCTGAACGAGCTGATGCAGCATCCCTGGAAACCCTCCCCACAGGGGACAGCAGAATTAGGGCAGATCTCTCCAGGGCTTCCCAGCTGCAGAGCCGCCTGCAAGCAGCTAATCGCATTCTTAATTAATGTGAACCATGCACATGGTGGGAGCCAGAGGAGGGCAAGACACCCGCTGCCCCTGCTTCAGAGCTCCTTTGTATTTCAGCAGTGGTCTTGCTGAGCAGAGACAAAATGTGCCCATAAAGGCACAGCAAGCACCGATCAAAAGCCACTGCGCCACTGAGGGGGGGCAGCAGAGGCAGATGCCTCCCTACCTTGCTGCGAGCAGTGGTCGCTCTGATCCCAGCATGGCCAGTGAAGGACAGCAGGGCTGCCCTCCAGCCCCACTCTGCTGCCATGTGGCTGCCAGCCTCCTCCATCACTGCGGGGGCTTGCCAGGACCCCTTTATCTCTGGCAGGGGCATGCTGCGGTCATGCTGGGGACGTCAGCTTATTTTTGGGGGGGGGTTAGTACCAAACAAAGGGGGGACATGAACCTTTGAGGGATTGTCCATGGACAATCACCGGGTATTTAAGCACCCCCAGCTCCAGCACGACGCGTGTCTCTGGGGATATGCTCTTGTATCTGGCCAGGCGTTGAGTGTGCCTGGTCTGAAGTCAATCCTGGGCCATCACTCCACATTTCACAATCGGGCCAGGCTCATTGAAAACATGCTCTGGTGACCTGGAACCACAGCCATTGTGTGATCTGTGGCTTTCCCGGCCCTTCAGTGGGGCTAAACCCACCGCCGGCAGGGGAGGAGGCTCCTCGTGACTTGCAGCTTAGCCAGCGCATTAGTGAGCTGTTTGGAGGCCCCTCTGTCAAGTCCCTAATCCCCCCTTCCAGGCTACCATGTGATTTCAACCCCCAGCATTTGCAGACTGGCCCTGCCCTTCAGTTTTGTGCATTGTGTACAGCCTCATTGACCTTTCCCACACCTTGCCTTTCCCAGAGCCCTGCCGTGGCGGTGGTCAGTCCTGGGTGTTTTGTAGCCTAGCATCACTTTGGACCAGCCTGTCATTTGAGCAGAACCCTATATCAAATTCAAAGTGGACTTGAGACCTCTGGATCTGCATTTGGTGCTGATGGATCATTTTGGTGATCTTAAAAATAGAGAAAAAATGCAACTGGACTAAAACCACCCAGACCTTGTTGTCTTCCTCTGAGGGCTTGCAGAGATCCACCCTGATTTGCTGTCAGCCCTTGACTCAGGTACGCTGAGACTACCACCAAGGGAAACTCCTCCTCCAGAGGTGTTCTCAGGTCACTGCCAGACCCTGTACACTCCAGCAGCACAGAGCTTTCCCTCTCAGTGCTCTGCATCATCACCACAGTTGTTCTTCAGTCTTGTTTTGGATGCAAACACCATGGCATGGCCAAAAGCTGCTGGGACACTTTGAGGAAGTCAGATGACGTTGTTCCTCTCATGCCACAGTGCAATTTGCCTTCAGGCGTTATAAGTGGGGATGATGAAGCAGGAGGAAACAAACACGGTGTAACTACAGCTCCAGGCCTGAGTCTTCCTTTCTGGGCAACTTTGGTGACACAGGACAAACATGGACAACTTGGGACAGCAAATCCTACTTTGCCATCAGACACTGTTAGCTAATTAGGACCTTTGAAGGCAAATTGCAGGGTTAGTCCTGCAAACAGGTCTCTCTCAGAAACCTGGTTCCAGATCCCCCTTTCTCTTTTGCAGGACCAGTACATGTTCCTGTACACCTGCATCCGTGACATCATTGCCCAGAAATAGCCCTAACACCACTCGGCGCTTCCTGGCACTGTCCTGCCCTCCGCCTCTGCAAGGCCCTGTCCAGAGCAGGAGCTGGGGTGAGAGCACCGTGGGGCTCCTGGCACAGAGCGACACCTGCAGCGAGAGTGGTCCCACCCTGGCGCTGCCACCGATGCGTCCTGCACGATGTCAGCAGTGACATGGGGTCTCCTGAGCAGATGGTCAGTGTTGTCCTGCTACACACTGCTGCAGCCCTTCCATGCAGATATGGTGAGGGGCTGGGAAGGATGCTCCCCTGCTTTGGCCATCACCTAGGATTCCTGGTGCCTGGAAGTTTTGTTAACCCCACCGCGGTACGCTCACCAGCTGCAGGGCCCTGCCCCTCGGCACTGAAGGGGCAGCCCTGGGCTTGCTTCTGGACAGTCCTGGCACCCACATGCTGCTGAGGTCTGACACGAGCGCTGGGCACCATGGTCTCTGTGCCACCATGGGCGCAAGGCATGTTGAGGTCTCCGACACTGCTGTGATGGGAGCTGGCTTGTCTCAGCTGGTGGATCAATCTTAGGTACAAACAATAAACAGCCCTAGGAAAGAGTATGCTCATAAGGGTGGGTTGGCTTTTGTGGGGTCTCAGCAACGCCGAGTCTTTCCCCTGCTGCAGCACACCAGCCATTCCCAAAAGAGCAGCTGTGTCCCTAGCCATGGGCAATGGATGGGGCGCTCTTGGCCAGTCCAGATACTGCAGTACAATGCACACAGCAGCTTCTGCTCACTCTCATCTGCTCCTGTTACTGAGGCAAAAATTCTGCAGTGAGCCTTGAACCCACCCGCAGCTTTACAAGGAAGAGACACATTTTCTGATGAATCCTGGGCTTGAAGTTGTGAACCTGCTGGCTCCCAAAGAGCCAAGGACCAGGGCAAAGCCACCTGGTCCAGCTGACATGCAGCACTGGCTGCTGCTCCAGGAACTGGGTTGTTAATGCAACCACATGTAGGGACACCACTGCGCTGCAAGCAGGAATAGCCATGCATAAGCTGAAATTGCAAGTAGCGGCTTGGTTGGTTGAGCTCCAAGTGCAGGTCAGAAGGAAGAGTTTTAAAAAAAGGAGATGATTTCACAAGCATATTCCTGGGGTAGAAAAAAATGTATCTGGGAACCCATTTACCCTCCTTCACCCCTTCAGGCAGCATAGGGTTATGGTACAATCTCAAACCAGCAGCTCTGTCCCAGTGTGAGCCCACACTCTTACCCACAATACCTGGCAGAGCTGCCTTGGGGTGATGTGGGGAGGCAGAGCTACAATGAGGAGGTCCCAAGACCTACTACAAGGAGTAGACCGTTCCGGTGGTGGACTGAGTTGGCCACTCATCCTACTGCCCCTGTGTTTCCACAAACATCTCCCTCTTCCAAAACAGTTGACCTCCAAAGCACACAAAGACAGAGGTCCCCGTGCAGGAACCTACATCAGCAGCTGCTGATGTAGAACAAGGACTGCTGCTCATTCCCTCAAACAAGGGAGGGATGAAACCGACTGGATCCAATCCCAACATCTCCCTGCTGGTGCTGTTGGACTCAGTCTGTGGCTCTCGTTTGCTCTGCATGGCCCAGAAACCCCAGATGCTGAGCACAGTTCCATCTCAAAGGTGTGTGTAGACACCAGCTTTAGCCTGGTGTCCAATAGGCTCTTGTTCAAAGTGTGCAGTCTCCACTGAACACTGAGAAGCATTTGTATCTCTATATCCCAACATGGTTTATAGTATGTAAAACACCTAATGCCCTTAGTCTCAGAAAATTTCAAGGACATTTGTGGAGCACTGTGACCTCGGAAGTGAGGCCAATTGCAGTGACAGTGAAGATGTGAAGGAGGAGCTGTTGCCATAAGGTAGCAGGACTCTTGTGAGGGGCACAGAAGCAGGACTACCGGGTGGTCAGACTTTGGCTGTTTGTCACCCCAGAGTAGCCTGGGGTTCTGCAGAGACAAGCCCTCCCTTACTCTGCCAAGCACAGCTACCAGGGTCTCCCAACACCCTGTCCAGGACTGCATCCTCAGAAAGGAGCAGCAGCCAAGGATAAGGAAGGGCAGGAACTCCCCATCCTCTCTTTTCTATTTTTCTGCAGTCAGAGCTACCCTGTGGCTTTCAGAGTCATTATGCCTGGGCTCAAAGCCATATTCCCCATGGAGAGGGTCTGGGTCTGGCTCTACAGCTTGTGGCACAGGAGGGAGACCTCAGAATGGGACAGCATTCCCAGGAACTGGTTGTGGGCTCTTGCCTTTCATGCAGAACATCCACGAGATGACTTGGCCACCCCCTGGTTCACCCTTAGCTGCTGGCAGTGACTGAGCAAGATGGGGGGTGAGTTCAGCTGGTATCTACCCCACACCGCCTCTCTGCCTAGTGGGGCTCAGTTCAGCACATCACTGTCCATCTGCCTTGCCAAATGGGTTGCTGCACCAGGATCTTCCTACAGCCCCTTGGGAAAGTGCTTATGGGTCTCCCATGTGGGCATGCACAGAGATGACAGCCCCAGCACGGGGCACAGCTACACACAGCCAGGCAGGGCTGATGCATGGACCTCGTGGTACAGAGTTGCAAGGGGCACTGGCTCTGAGGCGTAAGCAAGTGAAAGCCACGGTGGGGGAGGCCTGCTGCTGTCTGCAGAGCTTCCAGAAGTCCAGGAGCAAGTGATCCCACAGCCCTCACATCTGGCTAGTACAAAACAACAGTGTTTCCGTCAGAGCCAGCAGCCAAGGTGAACCTGCGGACATCTGCAGCTAAGGTACAGCTGCTCTGGTGGGTATGAAGGGACCTTCTCAGCAATGGGTCAGGCATGGGAGACACGGATTTGTCACGCAAACTGGCTGACAGGTTTCTCCCAGTGAGTTTGGTATGGCTGCCTCTGTGGCACAGCCTGCTGCTCCGTGTTTCACGTTCTGTCTAACAGGAGGCCAACTTGGTGACGATGATGAATTTACGACATCCCACCCACTGCTGCAGCGGAGTCTGGAGCCACAGATGCTTACAGAGGGTGTCGTGGGAGCTGTGGTTTGGATGAATAATTTTCCAGCCCTGCAGCTCAGAGCCACAAAACCCAGAGGGGGAGAGAGAGACAACAAAACAGTAAAACAAAACAAGCCTCCAGCTCGGGCCGCCCAGCGAGTTCTGGACCGTGCCATGTTGTTCTTCATATTTAGCCTGCTCCAGTCTGGCAGCATCCAGCCACCACCCTCCTCCATCAGCCCCCGTGCAGAAGTCAGGACCTTGGAGATGAACAGGACCATGTCCATTTGGACCATGCTTCCCACCCCCTTCTCCCCTTTCCCATGGCTGCCAGAGCAGGGGGCAGACTGGGTTAGCATTGCCAAGTAACAGGAGAGCAGAGGTACCCAACCCTTGGTTTTCCTGGGGACCCGCAGCCATGGGAGCCTGATGGTGACTTCTGGGGCATTACAGCTCGTTGATCCACAGCTTCTCCATTCACAGGTGCTGAACCTCTGCCCTAGGCTCTCCCTGTCCTCTGCTCCCTCCAGGGCACAGAGTCCAGCATTTGCCATGTCTTCGCCCAAGACAGTAACAGGGCATTGCTGCCACCACAGGGAGCCCATGGTACCCTGCCACATTCCAAGCTGGACATGTCCCACTGCTCCCACTGCTCACCGTCTCTTCCACCTGAGCTGTACCAGCACTGGGGGAGCAGCAGGGTTGCAGCCTATTCCTCCCTAGGATCTCCAGCATCATCTCTCATCAGCTACTGTTGCCAGCTACCTCCTGGAAAGCAGAAGCACTGGGGCCAGATAGATTCAGGACAGGCCTGAACAGGAAGGGGAGTTTCTCCTGGGACAGCCAAGTAGACCAGAGCTGAGGTTGCTTCTTCAACACCCTGCTCTTGCATGTGCTGCACTTGCCATGGCTTTGGCTCCCTGACCCAGTTGATGCAGGGACTCCAAAAAGGAGAATGTTGGACAATGAACCAGGTGCCTCGTCCACCTATCAGGTCTTCTGCCTAGCTCTGCACCTCTGTCCCTCTCCTCTGCAGGGCATGGAGCCACCAGGCTGTCCCATGGTGAGCAGTGCCTCCCAGAGTAAAGACTTAAAGTACATCTGAAGCTTGTGCTGTCCTGTGCTCTGGGCATCAGGGAGGAACCATCCCTGTTCCTCTCTGTGTGACTTCATTGGCACCAGCCCTTCCTGCTACCAGGGGGCACAACTGCCTTCAGTCCTCGTCCTTCCCTTGCCCCAGTCAGGCAGTTGGAGCAGCATGCTGGGCACTGGGGCTTTCCGCTTGTTTGCAAAGGTTTGCATTTACATTTTGGAAAGCCTCTGTGAGTCCTTGCTGGGCCCGTGGCCTGACTGTGGTATTTCAGCCTTTGGATGGCCCCGATGGGAGCAGGGGCACCGGGAACATTCCTCTGGCCTTTGCCCCTGCGCCCAACCTCGAGTGGCTCCCTGGGGCATGTCCCAGGCTTACAGACACATCCAAAGCACCAGACTCTTGGCTGCCATTGCACTGAGCCCATCCCGCTCAGTTTGGGCTGCATCCTGCTCTCTCCAGGACCTGAAGGACCAGCTCCAGGAGGAGCCAGGGATGGCGAGAAAGTCTGGAGGGCTTATCATAGAGAGAGCACATCCCAGGAGTCACACCTCCAAAGAAGTATCATAGATGAGGTGGATGAGCGCATGCCCTGGCACACACAGGCCAGTCCTGGTGATGCCTATTTTTCTCATGTGTCCCTGTGCTTTGTGAGACTTCCCAGGGCGCTCTGCATCTCCTCCTTCCCCTGCAAGCCCTTCTGGAGGGACTATGCTGTCCTCTCCATTGTGTGGTACAGTGGGGTCTCGGTTCCTGCCGTGACCTCGGCAGTGAAAAACAGCCAGTGTCCTCCTGGTCAGCAGTAGGGACTGGTTGTCCTTGCACATCAACAGCCAAACTAGGATTCTACTGGGGTGATCCTGAACCCTCTAAAATCCAGAAGGGAATAAAAAGAGGGCATAAACAGTTGTCTCATGGGAACAGGGCAGAA